TGGCATCACTCGGCGAGGACCCCTGGGTGTGTCCTCTGGGCTCACGTGTGTCCCCTCGGAGCTCTCTGCAGGTGGGACTGCCAGGTCCAGGACGAGCACATCTTATTTTTCTGGGCCGTGGGCCAGGGGCCTCGGGAGTGTGTCGGCCGGGAGGTTCCTTGCCCTCCTGTCCCTCGTTCCTGTGCCGCCCGGCCAGCACCGGCACGTCCACTCCCTCAGCCGGCTGCCCCTCTCTCCTGTGTCCCCAGCTCCGGAGAAGGGGTCTGGTCCAACCAGGGCTGCGTGCTCGCGGAAGGGAACCTCAGCTACTCCGTCTGCCGCTGCACTCACCTCACCAACTTCGCCATCCTGATGCAAGTGGTCCCGCTGGAGGTAAGAGCCAGGCGCCCGGGTGCCCGGACCCGAGCAAGTGCCCTTCCTACCCCAGGCCGCGGGCGGCTGGGGCGATTTACCTGCCAGAGTCTCGGGCGGGGGATTTCCGCCACAGCGGGGTGGACGGCAGCCTCCACTCGTCAGGGAGACCCTGTGATTAGGGACATTTGGGAAGCTCTGCTTCTCTGGCAGACAGAACAAAAGGAAACAAAGCTTTGCTGCAAGCTTCCTAAGGCAGCACCTGTGCAGACCCCAGGTCCTTCTGGAAGACCTGTGTGCAGGTGGGAGGACAGGTGTGCCAGCATTCTCTGCCTTCGGTCACCGGGCTGAGAAGCCTGTGCTGTGGGAGAGTCGGGGTGTGTCCAGTGCAGCACGGGGACGTCCTCGGCTGTAACCAGGGCGCACGAGCATCCAGAGAAGGTGTCAGGTGGTGACACACAGGTGCACATATGCACTGTGTCCTCTGAGCGTTTCTGCCCTGGGATAAGAGGGGGGCTGCGGGCGGAGCTCTGGACTCTTTCCAGACCTGACTTCCAGCTCCAGGGTTAGCAGGTGCTGTGGTGGGGAAGGGGACATCCAGAACCTTCTGCTGTCCTCCTCTCTCACTGGAGACATGACCTTCCCTGGAGACTCAGGTCAAGGGTGGAGGAAGGCCCTCCTGGTTGGGTTTCTCTGCTTCAGAATATTTAATCTTTATCTCCTGCCAGACCGCACAGTCAGCCCTAGGAGCTAGACGTCATGTTATTGGTTTAAGGCATGCAACGTTTAGAAGACAAAAAAAGTGCTCTTTAAAAATGCAGCTGCCTCAGGATAGGCTCTTCTGAACTGTTATCAGTCCCTGACTCCTGTGTGTGAATGACTTCATTGGCTTCCAGACCCCAAAGGAGACTGAATTTCTGTGTGCGGGCAGGAGGATGGGGAGGAGACAGGGATCGGTCCTCAGGCCCTCGGAAAACCAGGCACCTGTACAGACATGTTTTGTTTATCCCAGACTGTGTTTTGGAAATTGAAAACTCTGACTTACAGCTTTGACTGTCTGGCTCCTCTTGAAGAGTCAGCGGGTTTGGTGATGCTGGGCCGAGCAGAGGCTCCCTCCTCCCGCACAGCCGTGCACCGTCCCCGCTCGGCACACGGCCCCCCCCCCCCCCCCCCCGCCACCGCTCATCGGGGCAGGTGCCCGGAGCCCTCAGGCCCCTGTGCCGTGCCTGGAGAGTGAACTGGGGCCTGGAGGGCCCACTCCGCTATTGGGGCCCGCTGCGCCCAGTGCCACGACCGGCACATCCGGTCCACGGGGCACTGGTGGGAACCTGATGCGCGCAGGACTGTGGAAGTCTCGTTTGGCCTGGCGTCACTTCTCGCAACCCCGGGTCGCCACCTAAAGGCTGGCTCCTCGTCCGTGACCACTGCACGTGCACCTGCCCTGGGGGTTTGGCTGTAAACTAGAGGAACGGTGCGAGTTCGCTCTTGAGGGGTTTGTGTGCTAGTGAGAAGGACAGGTAAGGAAGTGACGTGGATGACGCGCGTGGGGGTGGGAAGGCCTTTTGATCGTGTGGTCAGGAGGGGCCGGGGGAGAAGAATGCCCCAGGCCGCGGCACAACGAGTGTAGATGCAGCAGGCGGGAGGGGGCTCGGGGTGCAGGAGGGGGCTCGGGGGGCTCTGGGCGGAGGTGACGAGCACAGGAAGGGCTCCTGCCTTTGCAGGACGTGCCATGGATTTTGTGTCCGGACTGTGAGTTGCTTATAGAGGCTCCAGAGGGGAGTCCCTTAGGCACACGTGGAAGGGGACTGGCGACTGCTTTCAGGTGTCCTTCAGAACATGCAGAGCTTTGCTGGGCGATGCTGTCACGGGCTTGTGTGCGCCTGGTGCCCCGCGCGGTATATCTGTGTTCGGGCAGGTGTGACCCCCAGGCCGTCCCAGTGGGAGTGACGTGTGGGCAGCAGCCGCCCCTCAGGTGCTGGGCACCCCCTTCCCTTCTGGTCCCTGTCCCCCGGGCCCTCTGTCACCCCCTGGCCCCTGGGGCTCTCTCTCACCCGCTTTCTCTCCCATCCCCCAATCTCTGCCCTGTGCTGCCTGAGTCAGGGCATGGACTCTGGCTCTGCCCCATCAGCAGCCGGGAGGTAAGGGAGGTGGGCCGGGGCCAGTGAGGTGGGGCCAGTGAGGTGGGGTGGAATGGAAAGTTCCAGAACTCCCTGAAGTGCAGAGGGGGCCTCAGCTCCCTGGGCTGCAGGAGGCACCCTGGGACACTCCACCCTTCCCGGTGTCCTGTGCCCACAAACACCCCTCACCAGGGGGCAGGCTGTGGGAGCCGTGCCTGCATTTCTCCCTGGGGGATGTGCCCTTCTCCTCTCCTGTCTTACCAGGGCCTCAGCCTGCATGGCTCCGCCATGTCCCTGTGGGTCCCACGTGGAAGTCAGCGACCCGCCTTAGCTGTTCCGGAGGGGGGAGGCCCCAGGCTCAGAACGTTTGTGTCTGTAGGGCGGGGAAGGTCCCAGGGTGCTGCGGCCAGGTCCCCTCATTTACAAGTGGAGACAGTGAGGCCCAGGCAGGGGGCTGGGCTGAGCTCACTCATTCATCCAACAAGAAATTACTGGATTCGAGGTGACGACCCCAGGCTTTCAAGGCATTGCTCTGGGCCTGGGGAACACAGCCCTGGGACTGTCACGGTGCTTGGGATCTTTAGTGGGGACGCAGACGCTCCACACTTGAAAGCGCGCTCTGTCCTGTGGTGACGAGGACGACGTGGAAACCACGTGGGGTTGGGGAGGGTGCTGTTTGGAAGAGGGCAGCCCGCAGGGCCTCCCTGAGAAGCTGGTGCGTGTGGGCGGCCTCAGGGAGGAGGGCACGGCCGCAGGAGCCTGTGGGGACGGAGCAGGTACGAGGCTTGTGCACAGAGGCAGGGCTGGGTGGCTCTCGGGACGGGTGCCAGGCTCAAAGCCAGAGCTGCAGACTCAAGTGTTGGGGGCAGAGAGGTAACCGAAGTCAGGGAAAATGGGAGTGGGGAGCAGGCCGTGAGCGAGCGCTGGTGTGGACGGGACAGGTGCCCGGCGGGCACCCCGGCCACAGCCTGCTCTCTGTCTCCAGGGGAGCTGCTGTCCTCCCGTCACAGGTGAGGGCCTCGGGGACTTGCCCAAGGTGACTGGGGCACGATCCTAAAGCCGGGGCCCTGCCCCCTGGAAAGGCCGCTGGCGGACAGGCGGGCGCAGGCAGGAAGCCGGCTCTGGGATGTTGGTGGGACAGGAAGTCAGCCAGTCCAGTCAGCTAGAAAAGCCAGTCACAGAGCATTTATGATACAAATCTGTCACCACTCAATGTAGGTGACACCAGATTTGGACAGTCTGTGGGTGTCTTCGTGGAAGCAAATCGTATCTACTCATTGCCGGGAAAGGTTGATTTGAAAATGATTCATAATTATCCGTGCTAAAAATGAACATTCTCAGGAACGTTAAAACATAAAGGCAGTTATCACACTAGATGCCAAATCTGTGGCAGCTAATTTAGTAAGAACAGCGGGACTGGCTTTCTTCTGTCTTCCTGAGCCCCTCCCGGGCTGGGTCTTGGTCCAGGGTCTCTCCTGGGAGCTCACCACCTTCCCTCTGCGTGTCTCCCTGGGCCGCACCCCTCCCGTGAACCCCCCTCCACGTGGCGCCTGGGGCAGCGGGGCCGGGACCCCGAGGGATGTTCCAGGCCTCGCTCTGCTCGCTCTTCTCCGTGGGGCCCCCACCTGTTCGTCAGCAGGACCCCGGCGGGGGCACCATGGCGAGCGGGAAGCAGGCCCGGATGCCCTCCCACTGATTGCTGATCGTGCAGAGTCAACGTCCTAGACACCCCGGCACGGTCCCCGGGTGGCTGGTTTGCGGGGATCCTTCTGGCCCAGAGCACTGGTCACCCTGGCTGTGGCTGGCTTTGGTGGCTGTCACTCCGTTGGACCTTACGTTCTTCTATTAGGAATCATTTAGTTAATATGATAGCCGATACACGTGTGTGTTCTCGACGATCAGGCGGCAAAAAGGAAGGCAGTGTCACCCCATCTGTCTCCTGGTCTCCTGATGCTGCTCCTGCAAAGCCACACCTGTTCCAGCGTCTCCCCTCCTCCCGGAAATGTTCCCCTCTCCCCCCGCGTGTGTGCACCCCACACGGGCTCAGGGCCGTCTCTCCCGTGGGCAGTGTGTCCCCACGTGTGCCCACACGTCCGCTTCGTCCTTGCCGCACCTGCTGCACATCAGGAGCCCGGGCTCGGAGGGCCCTCGGCCGGTCACCTGCTGATGGGCTCCAAGCTGGCTTCCCGTCCTTGGTTCTTCGCTGCAGCCCAGCAGGGCACCGTCCGTACACTCTTCTCTAGGATGACTTCCTGGCAGGGGGACCTGGGGGCACTTACGCTGCTCTCGGGGGATCCTGTACCAGTTTATACCTCCTCCGACGGCGGACAAGAATGGGTGACTTTGTTGTAAACGTGAATCCCAAAAACTCAGCCCCAGCACTTCCCGAGCTAAGTACACTTCGGACGGGGCTGGGGAATAGCCCCACCTGTAGATCTGGGGCCACGTTCATCATGAGTCGTGATGCCAGGCACCTCCCAAAAGTCACTTTCGCCAAGAATCCCAAGAAATTAGATTTTTTTTTTTTTTTACACTATTGGATAAAATTATCTTCAGGTTAATTTTGGAACGGTAGTTTCCGCGAATAGCCAAGAAAATTAAGGAGAAGAACAGGAGAGACTTTGCACGGCAGAGTGGACCCCTGTGAAGCCTAGTGGCCAAAATAACTTGGTGTCGACATAAGCCCAGGAAAGCAGATACGCGGAACAGACCCCAGAACAGACCGAGACTTTCAGTACACCTGTGAGAATCTATGTCGTAGAATTCAAAGAATGAGGAAATAAGATAACACGTAAAGTCAGAGCATTCACAGCCTCGTCTGTAGTGGAGGGAACAGAATAACAGAAGTGTTAACCTAATGCCAAGGAGCGCACAGGTCCCGATACCTCTACGCCAAGGAGGACGGCCCACCTCCGCTCCTCTGTCAGCAGGACAAGGACTCCACCAAGGATGGACGTGCAGCTGTGAGAGTGAGTTGGAGGGACCGGCTGGCCTGGAGGGACTTCCACGGCATCGTTATGTGCAAAGGGCAGGGTGCAGAGTAGCGCCCAAATGTCTCCTCTTTATAAAGTCGTGTGAGGTCCCCGTGCACGCGCTCAGCGACGTGAAGTGATGTCTCGCTGTGTGATCGGAAGAAAGGTACAGAAGTGCCTTCTGGGCTGTCGGGGTTGGGAGACGCTGGACCGCAGTCCCAGCCCGTGTGCTAAGCCCCTGTGTGTGCATCTGTGAGGAATTAGGGAACGTGATTGAATAAGAAAATCAGCAGCCGGAAGAGGCCGTAGGCAAGGCCTGCTCGTGGGTGCGGGGCTTCCCTCCTCCTGACACCCAGTGGCTTGGTTGGAGCCTGGCGCGAGGCAGAGGCCGCGTGGTGTGAGCAGCATGTGGAAGAATGGGTCCGTTCCGCGGGAGAGGAGCTTAGGGAGACCGGGAAGCCGTGTCCCCCGATGCCAAGTGTGGCCGCATCAATAGTAAGCCTGACTCGTGCTGCCATAACGGCTTGGGCACACGGACCTGTTCGCCACGTTCAAGGGGAGGTAGACGGGCGCCGGACTGGTCACCTTTCGGGACCGGCCAGCAGAGGCACCGGGGACGGGGGGGAGCCGGGCCCTGCTGTGGTGGGTGCCGCGTGGCTGGCCCAGCCAGGACCCAGGAAGGGGTGGGGCCGCAGTAGCCGGCTCAGAGATGAATCCTTAGGAAGGGGAATCGGAACTGGCAGGATTTGGCGGAGGAGGAGGGGCTGACGTGGGGACCAGCCAGTCCCACCTGTTTCCAGGCCCCCCACCCGAGGTGCACGTTCCGGGGGGACAGTCTGGTTGTCTGCACGGTGATGGGCGGCCCCACCGAGGCTGCCCCCGTGGCAGGGTAGTGGTGGGCACAGTCCCTGAGCTGGCGGATGCCCAGAGGCCCCCTTGCCCACCCCTTGGCTCCTCCAGTGGGTCAGCTGTCCCGGAGCTGCGGATGGGGGGTCGTCGCAGTGAAGGAGCAGATCTTTGAGGCGGAGCCGCAAACCCCAGCCCCGGTCTGGCGGCCGGCCGGTGGGCCTTCCTCCTTTAGCCCGTTGTCAGTATTTCGAGAGTCCGAGAAATTATCTAAAATTTTTGATTTTGGTTTTCTTCAAAAAACAAAAAGTCTGTGCGCCCGGAGCTTCCTGACAAGCCGCTGCTGCCCCTCCCCGGCTCCGCTTTGCCGCCCTCCCCGTGCCTGGGGCTCAACCTCTCTGCTCCTCCTCGTGGTTCGCACGGCCCTTCTGCTTCTCGAAAGACAGCAAAGTCTCTCTCACGCTTTCCTGGGAGAGGAAGTGACATATGCACTAAACGGGGCTTTTGGAAAAAAGCGGAAGGTAAAGGTATTTCTTTTTGGAAGGACAGTTGCACTTGGTTATGATGTACGCAAGCTCCCAGGTGGCCTTGCCAGTTTGTGCGAAAAGCCTCTCGGGAGCCGTCGGGGTCTGTGGTCTGTGACTCAGAGGAACCCGTGTCCCGAAGCAAACTCCAGGCTTTTCTGGGCATTTCTAAATCTGGCCGCAGGGTGGGGAAGGAAGGGCACCGCTGGGGCACACCACGCCGCCTGAGGCGGGAGCTGCAGGGCGTGTGTGCGTGCGCACGGGTGAGGGTGTGTACATGTGCGTGCGTGTGGGCTGGTGCATGTGTGTGTGTGCACGTGTGCTGGCGGGCGAGTGTGTGTGTGCGTGCGTGGGTGTGCAGGGGTCTCATCTCCCCTCAGGCTCTCTGCACTCGGGCCCCACGGTTACAGGACCCGTGCTTGGCGGCCACCCGCCAGATGCAGCTGCCTGAAGCCACTCGAGGGCTCTGGCCTGGCCGCCAGGGAGGACGCGGGTGGCTGTAGCGTGAGGACCTAACGACGCGGCCGCACTGGGGCTAACACGCCTGCTCTCGGAGCTGTACTTGTGGTCCCGGTGGGCCTGTCAAGAGCGGCCGTGCAGGCGCTCAGATGTGTGGGCGGAGGTGGGCACGGTTCACCATCGGGAAGCCGGCCCCTTGGTCGGGCGGTCCCCGTGTGCGCATGTTACTTACCCGTGGGAGCACCTCCTGTTGTGTGGCTCTGCCCCCCCTCACCGGGGTGCGGTCAGCAGGGGCCCTGCTCTGGCTCCTGGTCAGCCAGCTCGGCCTGCGGCCAGTGCCTGCTCCGAGCCTCGGCCTCCCCGTCTGTGACGTGGGTTCCTCTCTCCATGGAGCTGTGCTGGGGATCGTGCCCAGCCCTGAGCACTGAGTTCTGAGCACCCGGCCCCAAGAACTGAGCCCCAAGCATCAGCCTAACTGAGGTGACAGTGACTTCCAAGGGAGTGTGAGGGTGCCCCGGGGTGACCAGGTGGCTGAGGAGCCTGGAGGCGTCCTGGGGGAGCAGGAGTGGGCTGTGTGCGGCTGGTGTCAGCACGGAGCCTCCCCGTTCTTCATTCTTTTGAGGGATGGCCCTGGGGGACCCTGGGGGATGCTGGGGGACCTGTCTCCCTATTGATGGCCCTCCCTGCACCCCCCAGGCCCCTGGCTCTCTCTCCCCTGCCCCTCCCGCCCCTCCCCTGCCCCCTCCCACCCCTTCCCACCCTCCCCTGCCCCCTCCCACCCCTTCCCACCCTCCCCTGCCCCTCCCACCCCTTCCCACCCTCCCCTGCTCCCTTCCATCTCCTGCCTGCCCGGCTCCCTCCTCGGCTCCCCACTCTGGTGGCCTGGCTGCCTCTCTGGGGCCAGCATGTTGCCTGCAGCCCCATCCCTCCCCCCAGGACCCCTGTCACACAAGGAGGCCCCCATGCTCACCTGGGATGTGTGGAAGCAGGCCCCAGAGGCGGGAAGGAACCCGAGGGAGAAGGACCATGCTGTGGAGGCGGCAGCTGGCTGGGTGCTGCCGGGAGCCGGCCCTTGTGCCAGCCAGGCCTGCAGTCCTGGCCACGGGCCTCACTGGAGTCAGGCCCCTCCTGCCACATTTCATTCTCCTCCCTCCTCCCGCCAGACCCAGGTTGCTACCGTTAGAGGAAGGAATTGCTTCCTTTACCGGAGACGCCTCTGGAAGAGGCCTCTGCTCGGGTGCCGCGTGGGGGCTGGAGCTGCCCCACAGAGGGAGGCCGACAGTGGCCTCGGGACCCTTGTACTCCTCAGGCTAAGGCCGAGGGCGGTGGCCGGGAGCGGGGACGCAGGGTGACGAGCCATGGGGAGCAGCAGCGCCCCTGTCCAGGAGGGTCTGACGTGAGGGACCCAGAGGCCAAGGGCTCGGTGCGGTCAGGCGGTTGGCTCCGGGCCGCCAGGCTGAGCTGAGGGCCGGAGCTGTGCTGCTGTGGTGGGGGAGCCCGGACACGTCCACCGCTTCTCGTCAGAGGCGTCCTGACTCTGCACCGTCGGGGGAGCCCAGGCGGAGAGGGGCCGCCTGGGAGCCAGGGGCCCTGCAGGAGCCTGAGGCCTCTTCCTAGGCCTGTGACGGAGAGCCGGGACAGGAGAGCACGGATGCTTCGTGTCGTAAAGGTGAAACACGGGCCGGGAGGATGCCACGGTACAGAGAGCAGAGGGTGAGCACGAGGCTGGCTCTTCTCCCCGCGGGAGGCAGGAGCATGTGGCCCTCTGTTCTTGCCGCGGAGGGGAGCTCGCTCTGCACACCTTGGAGGCTGTGCCTCGGTGTGCCGACCCGCCTCACGGGTCTTGACCGTGGCAGGATTGCCCCCGGTCTCCCCCGGCCTCCGTGGGTAGACGTTCAGGCGTCCACAGCCCTTGGCCTCTGCTGACGTTACTGACTGTTCGCGGGTGCGTCCCTACGGTGGATCCCCGAATCCAGCTGTGTGCAGATGTATATCGGCACAGGTGTTCGAAGCTACCGTTGGTGGGGCCCGCTCCAGCCCACCTCCTGCAGGGAGGGTCTGGTGGCTGCTGGGCTGGGTCCCCGTCTCCCCGGGCACACGCCTCCCCCGACAGAATGTACAGGCTTTGCAGCAATGTTGAAGCCCCCCGCCCCCCCCCCCCCGGCACGTATAAAGCTGGTGATCACACAGTTTCTGTCAGCATCTTGGGGGCCGGCAGCCTCCCAGCCCGACCGTCAGCCTCAGGGGCTGGGGTCCTTTAATGAGGTAGGTAGCTTGAGGAAGGCAAGTCACAAGTGTTTTTAAAGACACAGGAGCCCCCTCTCTGTGCACGGGGGTGGGGGTGTGTGTGGGGAGATGCCACTGGGTTCGCGCCCGAGGAATCCCCGATCCGGCCCCCGGGACTGCCCCTCAGCCAGCCAAGGAGCTCATTTCTGCTGTCCTCAGGGCTGCGGGCTTGAACCCGCAGCCTGGACTCTGCAGGGGGTGCCGGCTGGCGTGCAGTCGGCACAGGTACAGCTGGCGAAGCCCCGGGACCGTCACCAAACACGGCCGCCCCTGGAGCCACGTGCTCGTACTGGGCCCAGGCTGAACGAAGGTGTGTGGCTCAGCGGGGGGCCAGAGGCTCCTGGGAGCTGGCTTCTGGCAGCCGGGAGACAGGACGTTGGGGCAGAGCTGGGGCGGGCCGTGGAGGCGGAGGAAACCGCGCGGGTCAGGAGCCGTGAGGGGCCCCGGTGAGGGGCTGCTGGTTCCCCATTTGTCCTCTGCCCCGCTCGGCCTCGGTTCCCTTGACAACTGGCTTCCCCCCGGGTGTAGCCGAAGGGAGACAGGCACACTGCGGTCTGCCGGGTGCGCCCGGCCTCGCTGGGCCCCTTCCGCGGGCAGGTCTGCTATGGCGTCCGCCGGGCTCTGCTCCTGTCCCCTCCTCCCCTTGACCTTCCTGCCCCACGGCGTTGGGGCTGTGGCTGTCCTCCGGGGTGCCTCGCCGTCATTCCTCTGCTTTTCTAGGGTTCCCCACCCCCTTGGGACCCACTTCCCACGCCAAAGCCCGTCTACCAAATCCCGGGAGGGCCCTGCTCTCCTGTCTGGACCCTCCCGATGGAGCAACCAGGTGGTGAGCCGGAGATGCAGGGCGAGGGAAGGAATCTGGGTCTCATCTGGGGCAGTGGCCGGGGCAGTGTCCTGCCTGGGGGAGACCTGACCGAGGGGGCCTGGATGCAGTGGGGGGCGGGGAGAAGCTGGAGGGAGGAGAAGGTGGAGGCTCTGGAAACTGAGAGAGGACGGGCTCGGCTCGGGTTAGCAGGGGAACCAGCAGCACTGGGCAATGGGCGGCCTCTGAGGGCGGGGGAGGGGCCCCAGGGACCCTCAGATCGGAGGCGGGGAGGGGGGGTGAGAGCTGCCACCCCTCACTGCGCTCTCCAGGCGCCTGCGCCGTGGCCCCGGTTTGTTTCCATCGGGCCTCATCCAAGCTCGGAACGACCGACCTTAGTCATTCACTCGTACCTTTGTCTGCTTCCCCGCTGCGTGTGAGCTCCGTGCTGGGCACACGGTGGTGCTTAACGCATGCCTGTTGCACCCGGAGGCACAGGCCCACCGCCTCTCACTGGCTGTGCCCTTTCCCCTGCTGCCCTCCTGCTGGGCTGCCATCAGGACTCCCTGTGCGCACCCAGCAGGCGCCCAGTGAGGGCTGGCGGCGGGTTGGGCAGGTGTGGGTGTGGGGCCAGGGCTGGACTCTGTGTATCAGAAGCTCCAGGCTGAGCGGCCGGCAGAAAACAGGCGGGTTTCGGTGCGTGTGGCCGACGGGCCGCGGCACGCACACCGGAAGCTTCTGCTCCGCGCCGCGAACCGGCCCACACTAGAGCCCCGGAGCCCCCTCAGTCAGCAAGTGGAGGGGCACGTTCCTGCTGTGTCCACAAGATGCGTATGCAGGCTGATGTAGGTTAAGGAAGTCTTTCGTGGGGGGCCGGTGAGGGGGGTGAAGCTGGAGACTTTCCCCCACCCCCAGCCTTCAGCAGACGCCTCTGGACACCAGTGTTCTCAGAGCTCTGGGTCGTGACACAGCAAGAGATCCATTAACGGGAGCTCACCAGCTCTCTGGCAGAAAGATCTAGGTGGCAGTGGGGCGGGGAAGAGCTGGGGCCCCGCGGTGTGGAGATTCGTGTGGACTTGGCTCGGGGCCAGAAGGGGGAGAGGGCGTCACAGAGCCAGGCACTGGGGTCACCCTTCACTTGCTCGTATTTCCGTGGTTGTTTAAATTCATTTCCATGTGGCAGGTGCCACAGAGGTGGCCCTTAGTTCCTGCGAAGAGCTGAGAGTCCGGGATGTCCGTAAACTCTGGAATCTGATGCTTGTCCACATCTCCAGGCAGAGCTAGTTGTGACGGTGACAGTGACACTTTCTTTTCTTTTTTTTTTTTTGGAAGTTTATTTATTTTGAGAGAGACAGAGAAGAGGAGGCAGAGAGAGGGAGAGAGAAAGAATCCCAAGCGGGCTCCACGCTGTCAGCACAGACCCTGATGCAGGACTTGAACTCACGAACCGTGAGATCGTGACCTGAGCCGAGACGGAGTCAGACGCTTAACCGACTGAGCCACCCAGGTGCCCCTAATGGTGACAGTGAGACTTCAGTTGCCTGTGACAGCAAGAAAGGGGACCTTCCCTGTTCAGTATTAGTGTTGCGTATTCAGTTTTATTCCCAGCTTCTGGAAATTAGCACCTTCTCCTCTGAAAGAGCACGTCCAGAACCATCTCTGCAGGTGTCGGGAGTTGCCCCCCTCCCTGAGAGTTGGAGAAGTGATGAGTTAAACATAGCTAAATATTTTGGGTGGACCCGCAGGATTTCTCAGAAGACTTGCACTGCTCATATCCACCTGAAGTCTTTGTGGGGACAGAGAATGTGGTTTCCCTAACCGTGTCTGACACCGGAGACGTCACTCCACGGGGGATTTGCTAACAACATGTTGCGGGAACAAGAGTCTGAGGCCGTGTGGCACGGGCAGTTGGCTCTGTTCGCCTCCCTAGGGTGTCTGATGGATCGGAACACCTCCGGCCTGCCCATCTGCTGGGAGCGGGGGGAGAAGTTTGGGGTCCAGATCCTGGGATGTGGCTGAGAATGTAGCTGCGGGAACACACTGGTCCCCACACGTTCTGCCCACCTAGGGAACCCACGTGGGTAAACAGGAGGTGACTAATGAGGGCTCGCCCCCTCCTGCATCTGGGGCTGCGGGTCCAGGCTTCTTCCCCACCTCCATTCCATCACGGCTCTAAAGTGTTTCGTAGCCCCTGGGGAGTCAGTTGACCAGCAGTGAGTCACAGATCTGGAAGAAGTAAAACCCATTAAGTTGTCCGTCTTCAGGCGCAGTCCCGCTGGCTCCCAAATTGCTCTGCACGATCCACTTACAGTCCCCGGAATTGGGGCCTCCTGGGCCTGCAGCCCTCCCGGCAGCCCTCTTACATCCTAGGACTTGCCTCCTTTTATTCCCGATTAGGTCCTGACGAGCGGAGGCCGAGGCCCCGCGGTGTCGAGGCTGAGGTTGGAGGGACCTTGATGTCTGGTGTCCAGCGTGGATGGACATCGGCGAGGGGGAGGGGGCTTCAGCTGGGTCTGTGATACAGACAGAGCCAAATCCACCACAGGAAGCACAGCAGGACCTCCTGCAGGGACAGGCACTGGGAAGCTGGTCTCCCGGGAGCGACTTAGGGAGCACAGAGCGTTTTGGAGCCCAGGGGCAAGTGAGCCTGACCCGAGGCTCCGGCTCCTTGGGCCGAGGGAGCCACCGTTTGGGGTCGTGTTGCTAGGTGTGCCGTGGCCCGTGTCACCCTCCTCCGTGGCCCGTGGCACCATCCTCTGTGGCTTTGCATCCGATTTGTTTACCGTTCATTTACCAAGTTCGTTACGCACTACTTGATATCAGGGGTAATAGCCACCCCCACACAGACTCGCAGAGGGCATGTCTCGTCTCCCTGGCGCTGCTCTAAGCTCCGTAGCTGCATAAGTCCGTGGGGTCCTCAGCAAGCAGTCACACCCCACCTGGGTCATCCGCTGGGACTCTGTGGGCATTATGGCTCTGAGGTCAGGGGCTTCATCAGCCCTGGATGCTGCAGTGTAGACCAGGAGGCATGGGGTACAGCTCGGCAGTGGGGGCAGGACGGGTTGGGAGGGCAGGGGTTAGGCCTTTGCAGGGCAGAGGCTGGATGGGCAGAGGAATTGGAGGCATTGGTGGGGTGATTTGGGTGGAGTATTTCCAGAGAGACCCAAGGGCCGATGCCATGGGACTGGACGGACCTGTGTTGGTGGCGTTAACAGGGCATCTGGGGGAGACGCAGGACCTGGTGGTCACCAGCACGTGAGCGCTGGGACCAGCCCCTGGGGCCCTTTCCAATGGGAGCCCTGTCGCCGCAAGACCCGCGCTGACCCCTCTGCTCTGCCTCCCACGCAGCTCACACAAGGACAGCAGGTGGCGCTCTCGTCCATCTCTTACATCGGCTGCTCCCTGTCCGTGGTCTGCCTGGTGCTCACGCTGGTCACCTTCGCCATGCTCTCGTGAGTCATCCTCTGCTCTGCCCCCTCCGTGTCCAGGGAGGTCTGCCACCCTCGTGTAAATGTCAGCGCCGCCTGCCCCACTTTGATTTCCCTCTGGCATTTGTGGTCATGAGGTGGCAAATGTCTGGTCATTGTGCATTACAGTTGGACAGCTGTTCCAGAGTTACTTTTCATTTTGAGATCCAGGGTGCAGGGAGGGTTTGGGGGTGCTAGAGAGGAGGGAGGAGGGAGGCAAGAGGGGCTACGGGATTGGAGGGCACCCTGCTCTCAGTGAAGCTCGAAAGTTCTGGGAGGGTCTCCAGCCCACAGACTTTCTGGCCCTTGGACTCCTGAGAGCCAGAACTGAGGACCTCCTCCCCCAAGGTAGCAAAGCCGCGGCTCCATAGGGGGCCCTGGTGTCAGCCCCTGGGGAGGCAGGAAGGCGCTTTGGTGATGACACCCTGGCCGCTGCTCAGGGCCATTGGCCTCACACACGAGGCGGGGGGGGCTCCTCCCTCTGGGGCTGCTTGGGAGCCTGTCTCCCCCACCTGCTCTGCAGGCGGGTGATGCTCCAGGGGTTCCTCGGGGAGCCCAGTATCCCTCCTCGCCTGCCCTGGCTCCCTCAGGACACCTGCCCCTGGCCCGACTGTGACCACGGCGTCCCCGGGCCGGCAGCTGCAGCATCAACATCATCAGCAGGGAGAGGCTCTCAGCTTCCCAGAGCGCTGGGAACACGGGGAGGCCAGGGCAGTGGCATCCAAGGCCGGCAGGAGGAGCCGGGGCCCGTGTTGAGCTGGGACATTCGTTCTTTGGTTCCGTCATCCCTTGGCTTTGCTCAAGAAGCCCAGTGCCCAGGAGCAGGAGCACACGCTCCCCGGCCAAGGGAGATGAGGTGGAGCTACTTTCCTGGCAGGAAGTCCTCCCCAGGGGCAGACCTGGCAGGTGTGGCTGGTGCAAATCTGAGCCCGGAGAGGGCTGGGTGTTTGAGAGCTGGAAGAGGGCACTGTGAGCGGGAGTAGGAGCAAGGAATGAACTGGGTCAGAGCAGGGGCCAGGCTGTGCAGCCCTGAGGCCCGTGGAAGGAGCTGGCTGGTTTCTAAGAGCAATAGGGAGCCACTGAGGTTTCACAGTGGGAAGTGACCGCATCTAGGTGGGCTTCCTAAAGGCCTGTTTGGCAGCCCTCGGGGGAGTGATAGGGAGCAGCTGGGGCTGGGCCGGGCCGGGGCCTCACCCCTACATCTCTGCCCTCAGCTCGGTCAGCACCATCCGGAACCAGCGCTACCATATCCATGCCAACCTGTCCTTTGCTGTCCTTGTGGCCCAGATCCTTCTGCTCATCAGCTTCAGCTTCAAGCCTGGCACAGTGAGTAGGCCCCCTCGGTCCCTCCCTCATCCTTCTGATGTCACCCAGGCTGGCACCTTCTGCTGGTTTCTTCAGAACTCAGACTGCATCCCCCGGATAGAGCAGGGGCTTGTCTAGGAGAAGCGGAGAAGGCAGGCCTGGGCTGGGCTCTCTGCTCCCCATGGGCTCAGTAGGGAAGATGAGCTTCTCCTCCCCCTAGGGCCCTCCTCCTCCCTCTAGGGTCCTGGCGGCGTGGGGGGCATGATGTGGAGAGCTGACGCAGACCAGCCCTCTAATCCTCGAGAAAGGCCCAGGCTGTGCAGTCCTAATCTCCTGCTTAGAGATGTGGGAGGTGGTTACAGCAATTTGCCCATAATGACAGGTGGCAGGAGCTTTGCGGCAGACATAGAGTGGCCGTGGGTGTCGGTCCCAGAGCGGCTGGTGGGCAGACGGTGCTCCCCTTGGGACGTAGAGACGCGAGCTGCGCATGCTTGATACTTGCCTCTGATGCGCATGTGGGGGCAGATTAGGGACCTCCAGCCGCGTCCCTGGAAACCAGGTGCAGAGCACACGATGTTGTCCTAAGAATGAGCTGATTGGGGAGCACTGTGAAAACAGAGCTTGGAGCGCCCGACATAATCATGCCATTTCTGTCTTCAATTCTTTTACTTTTTTCTCCTTATTTTTATTATTTGAAGGTAGTATATAAATTTATATCCCTCCTCCCATCATTCTGCCCCCTTCCCGGCCTCTGTGGACACGGGCATGGGATCGGGGCACCCCTGCTGCGGCCTAAGCCGGTCGGGGTTGCTGGTCCAGCTCGGGTGCCTGCTCATAGCCGCCGGCCCACGTGGCTGACAAGCCCCAGGCTCGCGCGCTGGCTGCCGGATGGCTCCGCCCATTCCCCAGAGCCCACCCCATTGGCCGGTCTGCTCACGTGTCCACCTCCAGCCAATCGTGCTGCACGCTCGTGTTTATGCTGATTGGCCGCGCCTGATCGCCCGCTCTCTCCTGAACCAATCGCTGTGCGGGAGTCACCCGCCCCAACCCTAAACCGGGGGGGGGGGGGGAGGACCCCGCCCCGCTCTGCTTCGCCGGGAAATGAGGGCACGTGAGCAGCAGATGTTCCGGAATTGGACGCAGGAACCGCCAGAGCGATGTCCGCTTGTGTGTCTTCGCTCCCAGGTCCCCTGCCAGGTGCTGGCCGTGCTCCTGCACTACTTCTTCCTGAGTGCCTTTGCCTGGATGCTGGTGGAAGGGTTGCATCTCTACAGCATGGTGATCAAGGTCTTTGGCTCAGAGGACAGCAAGCATCTCTACTACTATGGGATAGGATGGGGTAGGTGGGGATGGAACGGGGCAGGTGGGGATAGGGGGCAGGTGTGTGGAGTACAGGGGGGCGGGATGGGGAGGCGGGGATAGGAGGGGCAGGTGGGGATATGGGGCAGGTGGGGGAGGCAGGAGTAGGTTGGATATGATTTCATCTTCACATGACACACCTCTAAGAAGCCAGGTGCTCTTAGACTTGAGCTTCCCCATGCTCTGTTAAAAAAAAAAAAAAAAAATCCGTTCCCACAGAGCGTGCTTGGAGTTCTCTGTGCTAATGGCCTGTATCCCCTGCACCTGGGAAGAGTTCCCGCGGCTCTGGAGCTAGGGCAGGGACCGTGTCTCATTCCTCTTGGACTGGCACCTCAGCATTAGAGCGGGGCCCTGGGAGGGGGGACAGCCTCTAATGCCGGCCTGCCTCTCGTAGCATAGAGCCTCTGCCCTGCGAGTGCCCTGAGGGGAGGGCAGTCAGGGCCCGGTGTCCTCAGCCAGGCACAGCAGGGACATGCACACCGGACGTGGCGGCTGGATGGAGAAAGGGAGGTCTGGTCGCTGCTGCTCTTACCTGGAGTAGAGTTTCTGCAGGAGACACGCAGGTGGCCCACCCCTGTGACACAGTGTAGCTCTCGATGGGCCCAGGGACGGGGAGCAAGTCTTCTTCTTACCAAGACTTAGTAGGTTTTCTTGAAGAAGGTTTTCCCAGTTTGTTGTATGCTCTTAGGAAAACACACAGAGTCGTTTGGTGGTTGTGGGATTTTGAGGCTACTTTTCACCAGTTAGGATGGTCTCCCCGAAGGGCAGGTCTGTGGAGCAGCTCATGGCTTCATTCTGGAAGCCCCCTCCGCACTGACTGGACTCAGTGAACTTCCTTGTTGCCCACCCCATCCCGAGGAGTCCCTGCTTCCTGCCGGAGTCTGCGTAGAGCAGGCTGTGTCACTGACACCTGGCATTTTTGCATTTGCTAGAAACGTTCACCGACTGTTCGGGACCTACTTGCTACTTGTTCCTGGTTTTCTTCCCATGGATTTAGTTTTCACGGTCCTCATTGTGCAAGGAGAAGATAAACATGTTTATTTTGTGCTGGGAGCTGCTTGATGGGATGTGTTTGGGGGGTGGTGGACGAACACTCTATACCCTCATGGCTTCCGCAGCCGCCTCCCAGCTGCTGGGGCCACGCAGGGAGCTGGGCCGGGATGTCCCCCTCCCCCTCGGTGAGCGCCCCCAGAGCCTGTGCCCACCCTGGGCTCTTATTCGGGCTGCAGGATTAGAGGAAAAAATAAATTATTTTTACCCGTATTTAAAAATTGAGAGAGTTCATATAAATCATAGAGATCTTTAGAAAAGTGAGGTAATCTGGGAATCCCGAGTCTATAATCCTGTGTGATGGCATTGTCTGGGCCTGTGTCATTTCTCATACTGATGTAGTCCCTGCGGGTCCTTGAGCGAGCGGCCCCTGATGGAAGCTGTCTGCAGAGAGAGCCCTGGGCAGGGATCCCGCAGCCTGCGGCCTCTGTCTCCCATCAGCTTTTCCCTCGCTGATTTCCTCAGGGCTTGCGAGCTGCAACTCTGGTTCTGATTGGGGTAGAGTTCGCTTTGGGTTGCAGTAAAGACAGTCTGCGGGCAGCGGGGCTCCCTCTGCCTTCAGTTCCTAATTAAGAAGGAGCCGGAGGCTGACCCGGGGCACGGGGACACCTTGCTGCAGGAGCGCCCCTCTGACAGAGGCTTCTTCCCGCGGCGTCCGCCCTGGTCTTGAATCCCTGGGGACTGTGTTTCAAAGCCAAGTGGGGGGTGGTGCTGTTGAATCAAGAGCATACCTTGAGGTTCTGTTAGATGTCAGGCCCTTACAAGTTAGGACTTGTAAGGTGAGTGAACTGTTATCTGTCCCCCAAGCATCCCTGTGAGAGCAGGAGGAGATTATGATAACCGTGTGCAAGTTTACTTATCTGTGCAGTAGACATACCTCTGAGTACACAGAAGTGACAGACGTGCAGCTTGCTTTATTTTTCTCTGTCACAACTTAATGTCTTTGGTGAGTTCCTGCTCATCTGGGGCACACACTTAATCGTAGTTAATTCTGGGCCCCACCTGCCCTTGGTTGATCTGGAGCTCCAGGAGCTGGCGCGGTGCTGAGGTGCAGGTACACGGCCAGGGCAGGACAGGTGCAGGACCGCAGGTGCACGGGCCGCTGAGCAGTGCCCAGCTTTCCTTGCCAGAAAGCCGCATGCCTTTACCTCCCGTTTCCGCTCCGTATCCCTGGCGGCCACGACAGTGGGAGGGGCAGTGCCCATGGCAGTCCCGGGGGGCGGAGGGGTCTCTGCCTAGAGCTGGTGCTGGTTGCTGGGAGAGAAAAGCGGACGTGGAGGGGCATCACACCGAAAATTAACTTCTCGGTCCAGAGAGGCGCATGTCACTTCTATCCACAACCCGTGGCCCAAAACGAACCTGGTGGCCCCAACGGCCTTGGGGCGACGTTTGCGAAACCTCCACACGCCCAGAGAAGCATCCAGAAGTCCGTGGCAGATGGCACCGGGGACCCAGGCAGAAAGGCAGACCACTTGTCTCCTGGCTTCCTCTGCTTTTCTTTGTGAGACCTTCTCCCTCAGCTCTTTGCTTGTCCTGGCTGGTAGCTCCCTCCACCCCTCCCTGGGGAATCAAGGGGCCCGCTGAAGGTCACCTCTGAAGGTCGCCACATTCCAAAGAGGGTGCGTCTACAACTCCGTGAGGTAAACATCCATGCGGCAGGGCCGGAGGAACCCCGATTGTCCGCAGAGGCCCGTCATGACCCTGCACGGTTACCGGGATTCGAGTTTCTGGTGATGGCAACAGCAGAAGGGGAGCCAGAGTAGCTTAATAGCAGCACACGGATTATAGGGATTGGCCGTACATGTGGCCGCATCGCATGGGGTCCTCACGACAGCCTGGTGACCCGGGTGCTCTCACGTGCATTTCCACAGTGAGACCGTGGAGGCTCCGCGAGGGTCAGGCACTTCCTTGAGGCCACACAGCGGGTCTGGGGCGGCCCCGGGAACAGAGCCAGGCATCCCGTGGCCCGAGAGCCCAAGCTTGCCTGCTGGCTGTCTCCTCAGCCTCGTTCTCCCGCCTCTGAACACACACACTCAGCCAGGTGCTGGGCTCCTGCCGCGTGCCTCAGAGACCGCAGAGAGTGGGGGACCCTCTTCTCGGACAGACCCTCTGTCACTGCCCCAGGGGGCGGCCCCTGCCGGACGGAGGGGGATGTGGGAAGAAACGGCGAGGGAGCCGCCAGCATCGCCTTTGGGATCAAAGGAATCGTGTATGCAGAAAATGCACCTGTCACTCATCCATTTCACTTCAGGCAGCAAAGGGATGCCGACCACTGCCATGGGCCGGGACCGGGGGCGGGAGGGTGCGGGCCGTGGCTTAGAGTGAAGGCCTTGGCCGCCCACTTTGAAAATACCTCTCCAGAAGCACCTGCGGTCCTTGCCACACCTTCCGGAACCCGCCGGGATGGGGCCCTGTGCCCGCTTGCTGTCCTGTGGACCCAGAGAAAAGACTCCGGCATCCGCCCTTCCTCAGCAAGGTGGGGCGCCGGGTGGCTGGTGGTGCCTCGGGTCAATGCCTCCTCGCCATCTCGGGTGCCACATGATCTTCCCACACCAGATGAGCCGGGCGGCGAGGATGCCCTGTGTCATGTGTGGACACCGAGGCCCCAGGGAAAACAGTCCCTGGTGCGCCGTCTCCTGTCACGTGGTCCTGGGGCCGCCCAGGCGGGAGCCGCGACCCACGGCACCGGGGCCCAGCTCGCCCGTGGAGCACGCAGGTGTGACGGAGGGCCACGGTGAGGGCTCCTCTGTGGGCCGGGTGGCTCTCCCGGACGTTGTGGAACACATTTGAATTGCTTAGACATCAGAACAGTGGCTCAGAGCTAGGACCGACCTGCAGAACTCCTATTCCGGGACGCCGTTCAAGACTGAAATCAGAAGGGCAGGGAAGCCGCCGCTGTGAGCGCCCGACAGAGCTGGGGCACAGTTCCCTCTCCTTCCTCTGGGGCCCCGGAAGCTCAGCGCAGGCAGGTGGGTCCCCGTGTGTGGTCACCACCGCCAGCCTCCATTCTGGGAACAAGCAAGATGCAGCCCTCCCTGTCTGGCGCCCTGGGAAAGCCGGCCAGCGGGTGGGTGGATCCTTCGCCGCCCTTGCCCTTGGCCCACCCTTCAGGGCAGGGGTGGGGCTGCTGTGCGGGTGTCTGTCGACAGAGGCCCCGGGATGCGCCGCTCTTCTGCCAGGCAGAGCCGGTCCTTTTCAGAAACAGGCTTGGATTCGTAAGGGATGTGATTCAGAGTTCATGTGTACGCGTGTGTGCACCTGAGTGTGAGTTGGCCCTTGGCTTAGACTGAGGCTCCCGGAGGCCGGGGCAGCGCCGTTTCTGAGCACGTAGCTCTCGCTCCTTGCATGCACCGGGCGTAGACGAATGAGGGACTGGCTGAATAAAGGAGGCCGAAACATTTCCTGCGCTCGTTTTCCACAGGTTTTCCTCTCGTCATTTGCATCATTTCCATATCGTTTGCCATGAACAGTTATGGAACAAATAACAAGTAAGTGACGGGGTTGGGGGGGTGGCTCCTGGCGTGTGGCAGGGCTTTCACAGGAAAGGCCCCTGTGTGAGGCCCCAGGCCGTGGCTCTGTACGGGGCTGGCCTCCCCAGGCCCTGAAGTAAGGGCGACCCCAGCTGCGCCCCCCGCATTGTCCTCCTCCCCCCACCCCCCAGCAGAGGCTCGATGGCGGGGCGGGGCTCACCGGCTTTCCTGAGAGGACAGGGACGCATAGAGCTCTGCAAGGACACGTGGGGAGGTGCTCTGTTTGCAGTCGCCCCTGTCCCGTCCCGGGCGGCCAGGCACGTTGCAGGGGGCCGCTCAGGCTTGCTGTGCATTTCGCGGAAATGCTGCCTCCACACAGCAGGTGTGAACGAGCACTCACAGGGGCCGTGTCCTGTCTCAGGGAACCCCTGTGTCCTGGAACGGGGGCAGAGGCTCCTGGGAGTGGGCGTGGGTCACCTGACCCCTCTGGGCCTCAGTTTCTCATCTGGGTGTGGGAGTCATCGTGGCTCCTCCTGTGAGGGTGTCAGGGGATGCACACCTGGGGTTTGGTGTGCTGGGGGCCCCCCGTGCCACTCAGTGAGCGGGATGGAGGGAGTGAACGAGGCCGCCTGCGGGGACATCCACACCGGGTGGGGTGAGGACCGTGCCGTGCACGTGCCTGACCCTGGCCAGTGGGCAGGGCCCCCAGGGCTGTCCCCAGATCTGGGAGTGGACTCTCCCGGGGAACCCCAGGCTCTTGGCCATCCCAATGCTCCGGAAAGAAACGAAGTTACGGGGAGGCTATTACTTGCCTGAGTTCCTGGAGTCCCACCTTGGAAGCCTGGAGGGATCCCCCATCCTGGCACTGGACGCTGCATCCCACATGAAGCTTCTCTAGAAATGCGAGCACTTGCTGGGATCCCCGGGGACCTTTTCTCTCAGGGGTGCTGCAGGGAGGTGTGACCTACCCTTAGCTAGGAGCAGAGGGGAATGGTCAGGACCGTGTCACCTCATGACTCCTCAACGCTCTGATCGCTTGCAGAAGGCACAAATTAGGTCAGTATTTGAAATGCTCTCAGCCCTTGCTGAAGGTCAGTTTGTTTATTTTTCATAGCAAAGTTAAAACTTACTTTGGTTTTTGGCCGGACTCTGCAGAGGTGGTGATTTTTCCTACTGAGAGGCCCGTAAAAGCCGCCTTTTCCCTGAGGTGGTCTGCACACCTGGAACGTTCGCCCCGAGAATGAGAGGCACGAGGTCATCATGGGTAGCACGCAGAGACATCAGCTGGGGTTAACTGTTACCCTGGCTGCTCAGATTGACCCCTGAGCGGAAAAACGTCCTGCCTTAGCAGCTGCCCCCGGTGGAGGTGCCCGGTGCCCCGGGGCACAGGAACAGTGGTGTGGGGGTAACGCTCTGCTTCCGTCCACAGCTGCTGGCTCTCCATCACGAGCGGCGCCGTCTGGGCCTTCGTGGCCCCTGCCCTGTCCATCATTGTGGTAAGTCCCGCCGCTGGGTGTGAGGGCCCCTGTCTGCAACCTGTCGCAGCCCCCGGCCGTGCAGCCCGGGACCCCTGTCCGCAGATGGCTGGCCGGGAGGCGCAGGTGCGCGCAGCCTGCCAGGGTCGGTGTGCACCGCGGGGTCTTTCCCTGAGGGTCCTCGCCCACGCCCTGTCCTCGTGGCCCCAGCAGGGACCTTAGTGTGCGCCTCGGGAGCGCAGGATCATGGGGGACAGAGAACGCGACCCGAGGGGCCGGTGATGTCGCAGGCAGGCGCGCTGGCCGCTCTGCCTGGCCCGGGCTCAAGGGAGGCTGCCGCACGCACGGGTGCTCTCACCTCTGGCCAGGTGGCTCCATCCTCAGGCGGGATGCCCTGAGGTCCTGGGACTTCACGGAATTACAAAAACAGCTTTTGTGTTTCTTGCTATCGTTCTTCCTACATTTCCC